GCGCCCGGCCCCGGGCCCTGTCGCGCTCCGGCTGGAGAACCAGGCCGGCCACGCGCCCAGAGCCGGGCGGGCTGTCTCTGGTCAGCTTCGGGCTCTCCTCTCTAAAATCCCCTGCTTTGTAACATGGGAGTGTACAGTGTTGTATTTGTCTCGACGTTAAAGAAAACACTTGTTTCCCACAGGCCCAGAAAATCGCCAAGGCGGGCGACCTCCCACAAGACAGACAGCTCTTGTTCCCGGCAGGAAGATGCGAGAGCCTTACCAGGCGCGGCCCCACTGCCCCTGAGCGGCAGCCCCGCCGGTGGTGGCGAGGTCCGGGTTCTTGGGTTTGGGAGCGCGGGGCCGGGACTCCGCAGCCATCGGGCCCTGGGGGAGAGCAGACTTGGCTTCGCAGCAGAACAGGCTCCTGGCTGGATCCACCCACGGCCCCTGGGCCCTGCTGGGCCGGCCTCCTCCATGCCCCTTCTTTCTACCATGGCCTGGCCAGCAGATCCCAGGCCAGAAAGCCTTACCGCAGCTGGGGGTCCCCCTCAGAGCCCGCACAGCCTCTCCGCCGGCCTTTCTGCTCCCGCACTCGCTCGTGGTCTCAAGCCCTTCTACGTGGCAGCAACAGGCCTTCTTTATTCCGTGACTGCAGCCACCCATGGCTCGAGCTTCTGACCATCTGTTCCTGCCTCTCATCGTCCCCTCACACCACTGATCTGGCCGCACGAGGGTCTGCACTGACCCCGGACTGTGGCTCACCTTGTTGGTGGCACCTGCTACATCTCCTGGTTCAGTGGTCATGACAGATGTCCTCTCCTCGGTATGACTTTCTGTTTTCCGGGAATGAGTGGTTGCCTCACTTTTCATTTGCTCCACTTCTATGCCTCACTAATTATTTTCCTGAGCGCTCTCAGATCAGTAACTCTTTGATACCCTCTAACACAACATTTATCACGTCCGTTCGCCCTCCTGCCCTTAGCGGGGAAGGCTTCGCGGGGATCCAGAATAGGAGAATTGTTCCTCTCTGGGCACACAGCCCCTGGGGAGCTCCATGCTCCGGACGGCCCCTGCCTGGGTACCCGCAGAGAACCCCTTGGGTTCTCACCCCTTCCTTACTTTTTCCCACGCACTTTGGAATTGATCTTTAAGGAACGCCCGCCGACCCCTCCTAATCTGAGGCCCTACCTTAAGGGATGCAATTAGGTTGCCAGAGGAGGATGGTGGGTAAATGAGGGCAGAGGGGACACTGGCACAGTGAAGGGCTTTCAGTGGGCAGCACCTGCACACTGCATTAAGCTGTAGCACATCGCAGCTTCGATCAAGAGTCACAAGAAACGAAAACAAAGACTTAGCAGACCGGCACCCCGCCCACGCCGGTGCCCTCTCCCCACTACCCCGCACCCCACCCCGCGCCTGGGTACACAGCCAGGAAGGTGAGCAGACACCCCAGGCCACACGTGAGCTGCGTGGAGGCAGCATTTAGCGCCACCACCAGCCTGGCGTTGCCCGACACATTGCCAGCTGCAGAAGGCCAGGAACACGTAGCCTCGGGCTGTGTGTGGGAAGCCAGGGGAGGGCCCCCCGGAGGAAGGGCACCTGCCAGGGCTCCCAGCTGCCCTAGAGTCCACCCAGCTGAGGCTCCTTGCCCTGCGGCCAGTGCTGCCCTGATCGTGTTGTGCAATGGGCACGTGAAGAGCTCCCTGGGCGGCAGCCGGCGGGAAGTTTATTTTTGCCCTGAGCCCACCGGCAGGCGCGGGCACCTGCTGTCTTTGCGAGCTGGGAGGGGGCCGCCTGTGCCTGTGGGCATTGGTGCCAGGACACTGACCTCCAACCTGTGCCACCAGCTTCACTGCAGAAAGCCAGGGGAAGGACGTTTCTCCTCAACAGGTCCCTTTAAAGGCCCCGGATTCCTGGGATCTGGAAGAGGATCCTGCTTGATCCTCACCGACCTTCCGGCCACGTGCTGAGTGGACACGAAGATGAGGGGACACTCAGAGCTGCAGTTGAGGACCAAAGGGAGAGAAGGGTCAGGTGGCATTTGCTCAAGGGCCCTGTCGGAACCGTGGGCGCAAACTCAGCCCCCGGGGCCCACGGGGGAGGCCCGAGGCGGCCCATCGCCCAGCCCCTTGGCCGGCAGGCACTCTCTGGCCAACAGCAAGTACACAGCGACCACCGGGGCACAGGTGGAGGGCTGCATGGAGGCGGCGGCTGGACAGGAGCCCTTGCGGACAGGCACAGCGGTTCTCCCTGGAGAGCGACGCCCAGCAGCTGCGCGTGTCCCCAGCCCCTCTAGAAGCTCCTCAGCCGGAACCCGGCCCCACTCAGCCCATCGGCACACGCGAGCTGGCGGAGCCCACCAGCGGGAAGCCTGGCTCTGCAAGCGGCCCCCCCCCAGGGCCTGGGGCAGGACAGTGCCCACTGGACAGTCCGCCCTGTCCTCCAAGCTGGCAGGGGGGTCAGGGGGCGGGCCTGGGCAAGGGGCTGGGGCCACAGGGGCCTTCCGCCCAGGGCCAGCCCGCAGTGGCTGGGGCTCCAGCCCCCTCCCCTACAAAAGCTGCAGGCCAGGGGCTGGCTTTGCTTGCCAGTCAACTCGGGTCCTGCCAGCCGGGAGGCGGGCAGGCCGCACCCACAGCCCCTCGGCTCATTAAAGAAAATAGAAGTGAGTATTAAAAAAAACCTGCGAATAAACAGTAAAGCTGCGAGACCCGAGAGGCCCCCGCCAGGCCTACGGGGTCTGAGCCCATACTCCGGAGCTCCCCAAAAGCAGACACTGCCCTTTAGAACCGGGGCCCGTGACTGGCGCTGCCTTCCTGAGGACGCTCCTGCTCAGGGGGCTCAGGAAGGGGGCGCCAGAGGGAGTGGGTGCAGGGAGGGGCCACCCCGCTAGAGCAGCCCCCGCTCTGGCAAGGGGCCCCAGGAACCACACACACCTGCTGGGCCCTGACACCCCTCGGGTGCCGCAGGAAAGCGCGGGCTGCCCAGAAGTTCCCTGGAACCTGCCCCTGCCCCTGCGCTCCGGGTCGGCTGTCCCCACCCGGGGAACACAGCTGTCCATGGGCCTCGACCCTCTGAGCTGCTACTGTCGGTCTGGCGACACGGACTCGTGCCCACGCCCAGGCACACTAGGAACGGGAGAGCGCGACACCTGCGGGCCAGACCCGTAAGCACACGGAGGACGTGTCGCCTAACAATTAGAACAGAAAGCACAAAGAGCCCTGCACCCCTGTACCCCGACACTGGCCACCGCCCGGTGCCCAGTGCTGAGACTGGCGACACCGGCTGACCTGCGGCCGCCCTCCACGCCCTGCACACTCTGACCTCCCCGCCGGCCAGGCTGGTCCAGCCGCGGCTTCCGGGGCTCGCTGAGCAAAATGGATCTCCGGCTTCACAGCCCCTGGCAGGCCCAGCCACGCGGGCAGGGCCTCGAGGGTGCCCGCTCCCGCCCCTCAAGCACCTGCCTCTCCCAGGGCCCCTCCCTCCGGGGGAGGCTTGGGGGAGCCCTGGTGTCATCTGCGGTGTGCAGCGACGCCTGAAATTCAGTGGGGTGCTCTGAGAATCATGCTGGGGCACCCGGCTCAGCGCCCACACAGGGCACACCGGAGCGCCAGGAAGAGGCAGGAGATCCGGGACTCCGGAAGCCACCAGGGTGGTCCCGCCTCCACAGACTCTAAGTCAAATCATAAAGCAGCAGCAGAGAGGCGCGGCGGCGGCCTGCAAAGCAGCGCCGGCTGGAAAGAAAGGGGGTGACCCTTCGGACCTTGGCAGGCTCCCCAACACTGCTGGAGCCAGCAAGCCGGTCCCGGTTGACCCTTTCCGGGAAAGCAGATCAGCGGTCCCGGCCACCTGCTCGCGGCTCGTCCGCAGCGGCCGCAGCTCGGCGATTCTCTTCCGAAAACTGGGGGGCCCGCGGCCCGCGAACACGCACCCGGCCCCGGGGG